GCTATACACTGTATGATAGAATGAATAATTGATAAGATTGAAGGATTAAATGAAAAATTTATTGGCCAATTTTCATAGAATTTGCATGGTTTTTAAAATGTGTTTAGTTGCAGGGTCGTTGAGTTGCATACCTTCGAAGCGAAACCCACATTTAATAAAATGGCACGCTATTGTTGATTACCAAAAATTTGTGACAAGTCTGAGAGATTAATTTAGCGTATAAATGTATCTTTACTTCCTGACTAAAATTTACTCCTCTATGTCAACTATTGGGGTCTATTTGGTGTGATCAGATGCCAGCACAGGAATGCATTCCGTAAATATATTTTCCCCTACCATCTATAATTATAAACAAATAATCTATCCCACTATGTAATAAAAATGACATGAACTAAATGTAATATGATTCAATATTCGCCATTTCTGCAAGTTCCAAATAAATAGTGAGCTACAATTTGAGGAGTGAGGGGGGGGGTTGGGGAGGACGAAGAATGTGAGGCCTTCATAATTGCCAAAAATTGTCAACAGAGGCTCATTTGGTGGAGATGACTCTCATCATGCGTCGCATTTTTATACAAAAAGATCTAGTGATGGATCAATATCATCATCATCATCATAATTCGCACATGAATTGCTCCAGATCACTGCCTCCGCACTTTGAGCATCATGTTAGATTGCCTACGACTTCTCCTTCGAACTTTAACGACTTACTAATTGCCCCTCCCCCCCGCCCCGCCCTCCGCAATGAGGTATCTTATTTTACAAAGCTATTTGGGCAACATTTTTGTCAGTTTACTGACTGTAAAGTTGGAGGGCTTTTTTCCCTCCTCTCTTCACTGTAAGTAATCAGCTACAGTCCCTACATTATTTCCACCTAGTGATGATGATGATGAGGAGGAGGATGCCTTAAAGGCTTGACGGCACAGAAGTATAAATTTGCTTATTTATCAGCGTCTCAGGACATAGAAGAAAAAATATTAAATCCCCTTCAACTTTCATTGAACCCAAAACTCAACTTTAAATTCACCAATTCAACCCAACGCCGATTTAATTAACAAACTTCGATTCCCTTTCAAATAGATAGGTTAATTAGTGGTAATGAAGATATTTTTTGACACTACGTGGGAACTAAATAATTGAGACATTTAAAAAAAATAATTAAATCAAGTAGCTTTTAAGACGTGGGAGAGGACGGGAAGGGTATGCTGTATATGGCCAAATTAAATGTGATTAGCAATAATCAAACTCAAACTGCCGTCACAAATATGCTCACATTTATTCCACACCTGAATAAAGAAAGGATATGGATATATCAGGTATTTTAAAAGTCCTCATTACGTGATTAAAATTTATTTTACAACAATGAGTATCTACGTCAAATGCTTTTATACGACGTTGCAGATATGATCTTGTGAGCAAATAAACAAAAAAAATCGCCAGTGATAAATCATAGAGTTGGGTGTTTAAGAACGAGTTTAATAAAATTAATTATTTAAAACGGAATTAAAGCCAAAGACTAAAAAGTAATGATGATAAGTCAAATTAATAGTACTGTTCAATGTAAAAGGGAGAAAGTAACTGCATAATGTGGTTGAATCATTAGAATCATTGCTTTATAAATAGTGTCAACGGGTTTCTATTTCAATGCACCCATCTTGGAATCAAGATGCTGAATGTGAGATTGATCTCTGATGTTGTCAATTCTCGAGTAAAAGGGGAATTCGTTAAAACACGATTACGCAGTCTACACTTAACTACTATTCGGCTATAAGTCGAAAAGTTACACCCAGAACTTACAGATATTTACTGCTCAAAGTTGACTGCTTTCTTTTTTGATACTGATTTTATTTACTAATATGTGTCTAACTACTTGAGTGGACTGACTCAACCTCCCAGGTACAGATTATCTCAATGGACGATAAATCAATACCTTTTAATTAAGATATATATACAAGAATGACCATGTACGCGATCTTGTTCATTTGAGTAAATATTGACATCAAAGGTGAGTTATGATAATGAGAACGCGTAGTAGTTTGCCGTGTGAAGTGTGTGTGTGTGTTATCTAATTTATTTCGTGTCTGAAGCCACATCTTGCCAGCCAACTTAAAACTCATTTGAAAGTATAAAATGCCTTCAAAACACACACACAAATTTTCAAATAATTACGCGGTGGTGCTACAGTATCTTCACCAAGCTGTACCTGGTACATTCACTCGTACTCAAGGTTATTTTTAGCAAACCTTGACAATAAACCCTGATTAGACTATTTGATTTAATGAATTAAGCAAAAAATTAGCCCATGTATTAAAATTTCAACCAACACATTCTACCACTCCTCAGGGGAGCATATTAAAGCTGTAATTGTCTTTTATTGTGGCTCAAAGAATAAACGAGTAGACAATGATAAATATTGACACTAGATTGATAAGATAAATCCGATCTAATTAAGTGTGCTTGCAAATAATGATCTGTAGCATATAATTGCGAGATATAATAATCCCTTAATAGAAAGACAAATCTGTGTAATTCATTCTCCTTGTTATCATCAACTGTCTGCTTATCACATCTAAAAATAGAATCAAGTGTTTTAATTGTCATTTTCCAAGCCCATAAAATAAGTAACGATTACTAACCACGGGAAAAACATTCCGATATGTTAAACAATAAAATAGGCCGGTTATTGGTGGAAAACGTGCAAATTAAATAAAAATAGGTGAAGGGGCTAGATTTTAACTCTGTTCAAAAAAAGTTAATATTCCACTGGGTTCTGTGAAGTATGCGAAATTAAAAAATGTCTCCCACCTTGAGAAGTGGATTTGCTAATGTGTGACCATAAGCGTCTCACTTTCATCATTAAGACAATTTTGGTGAGAATAAAGTTCACAAGAGTTCTCAATGGTTGATTTCTGATGATTAATGGGCGGACAGTGTTGTGGGTGTGAAACCAAAGGTAGTTAAGACGCCCCTTTCAGTTCAATTAGTCATAGAGGCAACCTTTCAATACAAGTCACTTCATACTGTCTTAGCCAGTCACATCAATCAGCATTGACATCTTTGGATTCTAGGAGAATAACGTATCTCTAAAAGTATTATTTGAATGTGTGCCATCTTGTTTCCCTTTCAGAAATTGTTGTCCACAGAGCGTTATATAAAATATGATCAGGTAAAAAGCGTTATTCATTATAGTAAATCAATAATTCATCATTAAGAAATTTGGGATGGGCTTTAAAAAAGATTCTTGGGTAAAAAAAGATGATCTTTCTTGAAAATCTGAATGCGAAAAGTTGACCACCATTATAAATTATCCATAATAATAGCAAAAAGAGAAGTGAGAAATCAGCAAAAAAACTTATCTCTGAATTCATTTGGTTTCTCCAATTCAACTAGATTGTCAGAGTTACTGGCATTTTGAGAAAAAATGTTCAAAAGTCCAACCTTCAGATTTCATCTCATAAGTTCTTCAAGAATTTGATGCTCACGATTTTTTGAACATATTGACTTGCTAAGTAAGTTGAATGCTCATTATTTCATCTCGTTAGGCAATTATAGCTAGAGGGAATGATTACTTGGGTCCACCTAAGACGAAGTCTGATAGCAAACGACTGATTATTTCAAAAAGACACTCAAAACAGACTCTAAGTAATACCATTACAAAGGACTACTCCTCTAGTTACCTGCACTAATTCAAGTAGCCTGTCGTCAGTATCATTGAGTGCTATCTGACGCCTGATTGAAATTTGAATGCGTTTGTGGATCTTATAACCTACGCAAACATATTGAATAAGAAGATCACACCAATAAAAATGTATATTTTTGTACAAATAGCCGTCAATATCGGCTTCACCTCTTCCGGAATGCAAGATAGAAACTTTTAGGCTAACAATATCCCAGAAATAACTCCTCAGTGTCCATTTATAAATATTATTTATGACTTGAGTAACTGTCCTATATTCGTGGTTCGGAGAACTCAAATTCTTGTAAAAAATAAAAAAGGTGTATTTACATAAATAGAATGAGTTTAATTAATGCTAATTAAATGATATTTTATATTAATTTAGTTATAACAAATAATAAATAACAGTGTGTGTCATTTAGATTTAGTGTGGTTAACGTTAGGAAGGCGAATGAAAACGCTGGCAAACTCCGGAAAGACAATTGCATTTTATCGACATGCCACTTCTATGGCAGTTCAAGGCGTGGCGAGATCAACTACCATTCAGCAATTACCACATTGTCTAACCAGCCGTGTTCTCTCAAGTCTAATGATTGCTTCAATCTCTTCAGTCAAATCTCTATTAGAACACGCCTACTATCACACACGTCCAAATAGTCTGATAAAACAATCAAGTAAATGTCTACTTGCCTGCTTTCCAGATTGGCTCTGCATAGCCAACTTCAAGTGTGACATGTTACAGCATGATTTACCTCATACCTGTTTGACCTGTTAAATAGGAATTAAATTGTGCTGAGAATGAATGGAGAGGTTAGCTTATTCAAAGATGGTATGCATTTGTGTAACCAAGTAGATGTTAAACATCGGCTATAGCATTCGTGGATCACAAATGAGTAGTGGGTTTTGTCCCTGTGTGGCTATTGAATTCCTTCTTCTACATTAATATAGAATAAATTAATAAAAATGCATTATTCTTAATTTACTTAAGTGTATTTGCCTTCAACTATGTCCATTTAAAAGCCTCTTAATTCAGTCAGATAATGATACACACTTCAATAGTGAGCAATAATCACAAGTGTTAAGAAGTCATGTATTGCCAAAATGTTTGGGAGACAAAAAACTGACAATTCCTAACTCTTCCTAAACTTGAAATCGACAAAACGGATGTCACAAGGTTTCAGCAAATCGATGTACTTCATCAACAGAGAGAATATGAAATATTAAAGCTATTCTCCAAACGCCTTGGTAAACATCATCTTCATTACTGATGCCTTAAATAAGAGCTAACTTGATTACCTTACTTTTCACCAGTCAAACTCAGTACTTACTTCATAATTTGCGTCATTGTATCCTTTCTTGAAGTGCCATGGAAAGGTAATGTTCCAGTGAGCATTTCGTACATTAGAACGCCAAAGCTCCACCAATCTGCCGCCGGGCCATGACCACGACGATTTACGATTTCTGGAGCCATGTATTCCACAGTTCCACAGAAGGAATAGGACTTGCTGTCATCGTCCTCATCGTAGATGGAGACCTTGGATAATCCAAAGTCGGTTAGTTTGATGTGACCCTCCTCGGTTAGAAGAATGCTGGAAGAAAGTAAGAAGAAAAGGTATTGATAGATGCCAATCTTTTCAAATTTAAATTGCATGTTTATGTCGAATTGTCCTTCTAACCACTCAAGTTTCCATTCTAAACTGATCAGTTTGTCACAACGCTCGTCCTGTAAGGTTTCTGTCAAATAGATCTTTAAATGCCAATAAAATAAGCATTATTTTTCGTTCTAGCATATGTCGATGACATTTATGGAAAAGTTAGATAAAATGTGCACATCCTATATGAACTTGGAAAGTCATTAAAGTAACTGTTTGTTAACCAAATATCATGATAGATAGAGCGATAATTTAGGCAACGTATCTATCACAGGAAAGAGAGTACTTAAAAATATCAACACATTCTGAAACACGAATTCATTCAGTATTTTAGGGGCCAAATCCTAAAAGCATTCAATTAAAATTCAAAAACACAAGATAAATAAGACACGCCAGCTGCTGACCATATTTCCAAGGTATATTCGACGTCTCTCTTTCATAACAAGTTTGGTTATTTTTACCGCTTTCGGTGTTCATATGCTTCGCCCACATTCAAAAAAAATTAATATAAAAAGTCTTGAGAGGGAAATATTCCATATAAATAAAAACAAGAGGTCAATTTTGTTTCCAAAGCTCAAACTGTTCCCTTATTTAATACACAAATTTTTTTACCACTTTCTCCTATTTTACAAAGGTCTTTTAGCATTCCGAAATAATTTCTTTGAAAGAATATCCACAGAATCTTTTGTCCATGTTAATTCAATTTCCTCAGAAAATGAATCCTCAATGGACTTTATAAAATGATGGCACCAATTGTCATTCGGTCTCAAAAGGGCTTACTTGTCTAACTAACCTCCTCCTTCACCTCTTTTCACCAATGCATCGCATGTATTTATTAATTAAGTGATGGAATTTCAAGTTGACAAAATATTTAATTTTGCTTGAATTCCTGCATCACACATGGCAATTATTCTACCTTCACCAACGCTCTATTTCCCAGCACAGAAAGGCGAATACAGATAAACGCGTTTAAAATAAAGCAAAGCAATCTGAAATAAATCAGGGTACCTTCTAAAAGTTTCAATATAGAAAACATTCTAGGGTAGTTAATTAAATAGGAAGAATTTCAATTTCAACCTTTCCATTCTTTGATTTCGGTCAGCTGCTAGCGTCTGAAGTAAACTATCAGCGCAGCATTATGGCGTTTTCATAAAAATAATCCAAACTTTTAAGATATTAGAAAGTAATTGACTGTGCAGTAATCGTTGAGTAAATAGGCACGATCAAGAGTCTATCGAATTAATGGCAGCCAAGTGCAATCAATGACTCAATTTTGGGCAAAATAATGATGATCGCGAATCGGTAGACTGAGTATGGTGAAATTATATTACACTCCAAGGGGTACGCGATAGACTTACCTCCGCGTGGTGCACCCTGGGTAACGTATACTCATATGGCAAAAAAGTCTATTTTCCTGCAGTTGACTTCTGACTTCAAACTACAATCACCCCACTGTTTGTCAAATTCGACCATTTCAACAGTACGCATCTTACCTTTTCTCTGTATTTGTGTCCCTCCGTCTCTTTACATCTCTGAATTACTCTTCTCCCCCCCCCCACTCTCGAATATTTCTCACTTTGATGTTCCTCCCCTCTGTGAAGTCCGAAGTCAGCTAAAGAGTTAATGGTAACTATCGAAACATCTGCCATTTGAGATAAATAAATATTTCTCTCCAAGAATACGCAATGGATTCGAGTGACATATTCAATTACTTCATTAAATGAATACGTCAAAAAGCACTTACTAAAACACTAATATAAACCCACTCAGAGACCCAAGGAATAAAATGTTACCTTCACTCCTAAAATGAAATTCGATCTTTTTGGATGTGAACAGAGATTCTTGGGTTTCTGACTTTATTAATTACTCGATGTCACTACTATAATAACTCAGAGAAAAGAAACATAGTTGGAAGAAGCAAATATCACATAACTGTAGTTACGACGAATTATTAACTGGTGGGGGGGGGNGGGGGGGGGGGGGGGGTTGGGGCAGATGAGATCAAAGCGATATAGAGTGCATTGTCTAGGTGACAAGTAGACTACGTTCTTCGATTTTGTTATGGTCAGCTTGCAAATAATTTCATAAAGTAACGTTTCGCGTATCAAAATTCAAATTTCACAATTTGTCTCCCCCCCCCCCCCCCCCCCCCCCCCNCCCTCCCTCCCTCCCTGAATTGCAGCAAATGCTCGTCTCAACCTTATCGCTTCAATCAACCTCACGTTACGATGCGTAGTGATTAAGATTTTAGTAACAATCCAAACTTTGAGGGAAAACGCCTTTTTAATCAAATTCGTTAAGAAGTTTATAAAAAAGGAATGCAAACCTAATAGGTCTGAGTGTGGAATTCATAGAGAAGCTTCTAGATGATAAATATTAATGAGAATTCATTATGCCAGTGTTCATAGCATAGCGGTAATAATACTATGGAAGGAAATATGTGGAAGTACTGACTTAATCAGTAGTAACGTAAGAATCCTAAAGTTAGTTAAAGGTTGATGCAGGTAAAGCACGCATAAGTCATCTTTTCTTACAGATTAATCATTGACCGCAATGTCCTTATTTTTATATCTAGGGGTTGTTCCACCTCTAATTTCAGTCCCTCACTTTAAGGAAATACCAGCAAAATGAATCGATGATAACTTCCACGTATTATGTAAAAACAAGAATTCACTAACCCCTTTTGAATTTCATAGACGTAAACTTGTCAAAGGTCAATTGGAATGACGTGCGATTTAAATTAAATTGGTGAACTGAAAAATGAACAAGTGTATTGTAATTTGAATACAATTCAATTGAACTGATTTCTACTGGAGTGGGTTATTTGTCATTTTGAGATCGAATTTTGTTCACTTCAATCAATTTCGTGTTGAACCATTGACTGCTGCTTTTGGCATGTACACAATGTCATGGATGTTTAAAATACCCCGCAAAAGGTAACAAATTTCAGTATGAGTCAGTCTAAATGTAGAAAAGCTCAGTGTCTAGCTGCCACTAGCTTAATTCCTGTGTTTCTTTTCATTAATCATCCTTTGTTTATCATCTTTATGTGACACAAGGCACAAAAAACGGTTAGCAAAGAAGAAGAGCTACCATAAACCATGACTAAGGTCAAAATAGAAAGTGTTAATATAGAAGTAACAGGGGTGTGCGATAGACTTACCTCTATGTGGTGCACCTTGGGCAACGTATACTCACACGGCAAAAAGGTCTATTAACTGGCAGTTGACTTCTAACTTCTAACTACCATCACCAAAATGTATGCCATATTCGACTACTTTCACAGTACTCACATCACCTTTTTTCTACCCTTGTGTCTGTCTCTTTTACATCTTTGAGACTCTCTTCTGTTCCCCCTCTCCCTCTCGACTTGTTTCACTTTGATGTTCCTTCTTCTCTGTGAAGCCTGATGTCAACTAAAGGGCTAACGATAACTATCAAAACGCCTGCCATTTGATATAGATAAATAACTAAATTTAGAGATAGCAAAATATTTATATATCTAGTCAGCAAACGTTGCAATTATAACAGTTAAATATTTTAAAACCACCATTTTGCTTTGCTTACGTTCAATCGAAGCTATAAATATGATACTTTCTGGCTCCCTTATTTTAAAAATTAAAATTGTTACTTTATACGCTTTTAACGCGTCAACTTACTAGTGCATAATTTAAAAATAAAAAATGACCGTGAGTTGCTGCTTTAATTAAAATTATTACCGATTTGAAAATGGTATGCTGAGCACTACCCAATTAATAAAATTATCTTATCGTATAAAATCTATCAACATGTATACGTCTCATCTTAAACAATCTCAAACTATATAAAAAAGGATTGAAAATTTGATTTGATTTACTTTTCAAGGGAGGGGCATTCGACTTAAATGCAACAGACAATGTGCACCTAAATTACGGTAACTATTATCAATCAAAACAATTAAATAAAAACATCACTTCACTTGAAAAGAAATCTGAGACCGCTTTTATGCCATTCCAAACAATACGTTCCGCATTTCAAATAATTCTATAATTGAGTTATAAAACGAGCACAAAGACAATTAACACAAACTTATTGAAGGAAACTACTTCATTCCTGAGTATGATAGGATTGATTGAACAAAAGCGCCTTAAGATGCCAAAAACTTCATCATCAGCGATGATCTGTGCTCGCTTAAATGACCTCAAGTTGCACACACCGCAGTTGGAAAAAAGACACTGGTTAAGCCACTATCAAACTGATAATTAGTATTTCAAGAAATGAAAAACTGAGAGAAAAAGATGTAATTGATGAATGTGACCTTCAGAATGGAATGGAAAAAGCCAGATATATATCCAATCCGACTATTTGTACACAAAATGAACGGATAATCATGAGGTTTCATTGACCCCTCTATTTAGGTTACTTATATTTAAAACTTCATGCATATTTTTTTCATATTCGTTCCAATAAATGCGAGCTTTATAACAATTTTCATGATCTGAGCAAAAAATGAACAAAGTTATGAACGCATTATACTCAAATTTCAACGCAAATAAAGAAATTAACTGAGTTAAAACTATTTCCAAACACCATCAGAAAAATTGGCATCTAATTATATACCTTAATTAACGGAAATTAAAAACGATTTTCATGGAGTTAAAACCTTCATAAGGCTTTGAATTATAATCATGTTAGTCGCTCTTATATGTAAAATGCTATATTTATTGGAAATTCGAATCCGCTTATCGGGCTTCATTAAATCAATAAGTTATTAACATTGAACAACATGATCTCTAGTTTGTGGAAATAAGAAACTTGTCCCGCTATAAACTTTTAGCGTTCTATTAGCTGCGAAACATGCAAAAAGTTTATATGTCGAGATGAATCCAGCAAATCTTCCAATTAAAACAACCTTTTCTATTGACTACTTTACGAAAAATATTTTGACCTTAAACACAGAAATAAAATTCATATTTTCTGGGCGCTTAAGCCTTGCAACGATTTATTCTACGAGGGAGTTTAAAGGACAAATTTAATTGTCTAAAGATAGGCGAAAAGGGAAAATCATTCAAATAGGAAAATTTAATAATGACAATATGCAGTTATGACTTGAAGGATTGTTTGGAATTTTTGATTTTACTTGGGATTTCATTTGCCGAAATGACATATATTTTTTATGAGACCCAAACTCAAGCATTTTTTGTAAATGCACTTAATGGTTCAATTTTAGGCTTTAAGAGCGACACAAATTTACGTGAAAATAAGACAATAAGAGACCCTGTCAAGTTGAACCAGAGTGTGAACTGGCTTCTGTCAGGTAACAAAAAATCAATGACACACACATCAAGAAAGCGAGTGAATTGTGGTGCTTATAAGGGTGTGTGATAGGCATCACCCTACTGTTCAATGGAATTTGCAAATTTCGTTATTCAAAGCGGCGAAACAGCGTGGTCTAGAGCGCTGATCGATTCGGAAAATGTACTATCTGTTTCTGCAGTCGTGATATTTCGTTAAGGACAAATATAGAACGTGTGCACTATCAAGCTTCTATTATTTTTCGGGAAAATTAATTGAATTTTAGCGAAAAGCAATGCATCAAAATTCATGAAAGTTATTTTAAAGCACGCTATTTGGCTAATAGTATAAATGAAAACAGACAATCGTAATTAACAGCAATGTCATTTTAAGACGTGCTAGATGTGGATATTAACGAATTAGAATAGTCATTAAATGTAATTAACAGATAAGTAACAATTCATCTCAAACCATGCTTCATTTGCAAATTCGCTTAAATTACCTGAAGTGAAGTTATTCCAGGAACAGATCTTTAAGGGAGTAGATTCCACTAGGGATGCAAAGGGTTATAGTGTGGATTTGTTTCAATGACTTTTATAGAACACACTCGACAACTTCACAAAGGCCCATATATTAGTACTAAATGAACTACTCTTTACATACTTTAAATGAAAGTTATAGCCGATACTGGCTCGTAATGACGATTTTTATAGAGTTTCAAGCAATCTTGTCAAACTAACCTATCAACGAAAACACCGTATAATAAGAGATATCAAAATTTTCGATTGTTTAAGCGGAAAGGCGACATTGGAGAGTTTAGCAGATTCCCGACGGTGTGCGCCTATTAGTCATTCCGTGAGAGTTGCATTATAAGGGCGTACTTTATTGGCTGCGCACAAACGCGCAGGTCTAACTACTAAGCGACATAGAAAATCCTCGTCTTTTGAACGGTGGTACATGTACAGGCAGGACCCATTAAGGTATCTTGTGCGGCAGGGAATTACCACTGCGCATAACATTATCACCTGCGGTTATAACACCCATGTTGACGTTCTTCAATAAATGGAAGAAACACTCGTTAAAAATGGGAGAACCCTATCAACTTCAGCAGGATTAAATGAAAAAAATACCTTGGGACATCGAAATGAATGGAGTAAATGAATTACACTAGGATAATACTTCATTAATCAAAACGAAAACTCAAATTCGCATTTCAGATAGAGAAATGACACTGAGCTTTAGACATAAATGCCCATGCAGTAATAAAGCAGAGGAAACATTGCTAAAAATAGGACATTATCATTTTGGCTACATTAACTCCGACCAAGGACAACGCACTTAACTGACACACTATAAATGTATTCATAATATCTCCCGAAATCGGAATCTGAACAACCTCCCTACCATGTTCTCCTCCCTCGGTAATCATAAACGAAGAAATTAAATAATATGAACCAGATAAACAAAATAAATAAAGTGAATTCTGAAACTTGCTTTTCGGGTTTAAGATCGCGATAAACTATTCCCAGTTTGTGTAGGTGGTTTATTGCTAGTGCAATTTCGGCTAAGTAGAACATAACATCTGTCTCAGTAAACATGAGCTATAAAATAATAAATTAGCTTAAAAAGAAGAAAAATATAATCCAAAAAAGGGAAAAAGATTGATTTGTAAGTTACCTCTTTCGCCAGACGAGAAAACAAATCACCACCTCTGACAAATTCCAAAATAAGGTAAATTTTACCTTCGGTTTGAAAAGCTAACAGGTTGAATTAATTAAAAAGTAGAACTTCAAACCATAATTCAAACTGACAATGAAAGGAAATTGAATTTTAGCCAATATATCACGTTCCAATTTCGAACGAATTCTATCCTTAACTAAAATTAATGTTAAATTAATAATCCACTCAGACCTTTAAGCACAGCCTTCTTTAAAACTTTCATTGCATATACAGTTTGACTATCTTTTCCACTGATCTTTTTAACTAAAAATACCTATTGGTATTTGAAGTTAAATAGAATAAAAATACCTTTCCGAAGGATCCTTGGCCAATAACAGATATAAGTTCGAAATCAGCTTGAGAAACTTTAGCATCAGTAACTTGCAGTGATGCTAAGTCTATCACAGTCTCTTGGTCGTCATTTGACTGCGCATTTATTCATTAAGTAAATACGATTTCTTACTTGTTTATCATCAACATAATTATCAATAGAAATACGCTAAAAATAAAATTATAAGTATTTACTTACTCCGTTCTTTAATTCTTCGCAAAAAGGTTCACAAATTGGAGCAAGAGGCATATCTATAACGCAAAAAATCAACGTGCTTTCAAAACCTGAAAACTTATTTAACCTTGCGATTTTGTTCAGTTAAACGTAATCAAGGCCTTTTTATGAACTTTAGTTATTTGAGTTTTTGCAGCAAAATGCTCCATATTTCAGCAAAAATATAACAAGTGACACTTCTAAAGAGGTTGCTTATGTTTTTAGGACAACTGTTTCAATTTTTAATGCATTGATTATTATATATGCATTCCAACATCATAAGATTTTAGTTTTATCGCCTATAGAATCGTGTCAAATTATATTTAACTTTATAAAACTTATAAAAAATTTGCATTTTTAAGTAAATTTTGCTCATAAAACCAGATAAACTGCAACAACTAATCGTTTTGTACTTAAGTATCTTATCTTCGTAAATTCAATCTTGTTCAATAGTTAACTTTATAGAGCAATTCGGTCCAAAGTAGGAAATTTATTGTAAAGGTTATCTTACTTTTAAGCTAACTCGTTTTTTATGAATCGTAAAAAAAACATGAAGATTACTCATTACTAGAATTTACCTTTTACAATTTTAGGAAGTTATAAATATCTAAAACGAAAATGGAATACTATTAGTAGATACATCGAAAATTCAAAAGGATCCTGAAGATCGAAATAGTTCTCGATATTCGAATAGTGCATTTAACGTAGAATCTGCAAATTTGAACCAAAACATCTAGCGCTATTAGTTGTACTAATTATTACCAGTTGTCAAGCCTTTTCCAAATAATTATAGTTATAAATTTTTTGGACTTACTTTTTTCAATATTGAGTATTAACTATAGTATTTAGAATAAATGACAATTATTAGTATTGAGAAATATATTTTCCAGCCCTTAGTCTTAAAAAGCACAATTAATGAAGACTAGTAAAGTAATCCGGCAAAGAGTGAGATTGATCGCTGGAGAATAAATAAAGCTCAGGGTTATAGTTTCTTGTCAAATTGGCTCATAGTTATTAGAACACTGATCTTCAAAGTTAGTCACTATGCATTGAATGTGTCAATCTGAAAAATTGCAAATTCAATATCAGTAAGATAACATAAATAAGTTCATTTCAATACATTCAGAAACAATTAATAATTAAAAGACTTCAAAAATTTTCGAACTAAACCATTTGTGAACCTGTTGTCAACTATTATAAACTAATTTCATATTAAAATTTAGAACAATGCAGGCAATTTCAACTTGAATTTGGATCAGCAGCTCCATTTCAGCATCACTTTGCCGAGATGAGTAAGAAAAGATCCGCCTCTGTCGTTAAATTAATACACAACTTTGTCATTATTCCGCGTAAGACTTACAACAATATTAATTACAAATATTTATTTATATCAAATGGCAGGCGTTGTGAAAGTTATCATTAGCCCTTTAGTTGACTTCAGGCTTCACAGAGGAGGGGAAACATCAAAGTGAAACAAATCGAGAGGGAGAGGGGGAACAGAAGAGAGTCTCAAAGATGTAAAAGAGACAGACACAAGGGTAGAAAAAAGGTGATGTGAGTACTGTGAAAGTAGTCGAATATGACATACAATGGGGTGAGGGTAGTTTGAAGTCAGAAGTCAACTGCCAGTTAATAGACTTTTTTGCCGTATGAGTATACGTTGCCCAGGGTGCACCACGTGGAGGTAAGTCTATCGCACACCCCTTAATTACAAATATAAAACGGGGTTTTCGTATTTTTTGGTTAAAGAAAATTGGGAGTTTAAATCTTAAAAATTTAGATTCATTTTTTGGCTGCAAGTGCTCACCGAAGGAATTAGTCCGGCCAAATCAAAACAGCAGGCTTCGGGACACGTTATCGCTGTGTGCGTCATCGTATACCTGCATGTCTGCTCGCCAGGATTGGGAGGTGCGGCCGTACAACTCTGTGTGCAGCGACCGTACAAACAGTGACCAATCATCAATCTCTGTTTAACCTAATCCCTCATCCTGATCATGAGTAGCTCCCTGCGTGTACACGTACTGAATAAACGTGCTCCGTGCTAAACGTCTGTTTCCTTCACAGATGGGCTAGAGCTTAGCTGATTCTGGGAGTCTAGCTAGGTGTAGGAGAATCTGCCATAGAGATTTCTGAGTAGTCAGGCTTTGCTAAGGTAGCAATCCGCTACAAGACTCAGGACAATTGCCATTTTAAACATTCTTCAAAGATAACACATACTGTGGTAAAGATAGCAGATTTTATGGATATTTCATTTTTTAATTATTCGCACACAAAACCTATATCATACCGCTTACGAAAAAGTCGGTGAGGACGGGGTTTAATGTGTGGAGCCTAAATGGAACTAGGATGTCAAGCCTATTATACTAGGGCCGCTAGCCACAGTTGGTTGTTGAACTCAATATAGAACGAAGGGTACGCAAATTCATTTTCGACAGTCTCTTCAACCCTGAAACATACTCTAGATCAGCCAAATCGCAACGGAACTGGAGTAGTCATCTTTATAACTCGATTCAACCCAAGACTCTAACAAGGTAACCGAAAACTTATCTACAAAATTAAGCTCCCATTTAAATAAACCAGGATGAGATATATGAATGGTAATATGTTTAGTGAAGTCAGAAAACTATCTTTCTTTGTTGAAATCAATATTGAGATTTTTCTTTTATGATCAAGGGGTGTGCGATAGACTTACCTCCACGTGGTGCACCCTGGGCAACGTATTCTCATACGGCAAAAAAGTCTATTAACCGGCAGCTGACTTCTGACTTCAAACTACCATCACCCCACTGTATGTCGTATTACACAGCTTCTGTCTTTTTGTCTGTCTGTCTACTCTACATCTGCTAATCACTCTTCTGTTCCTCCTCCCGAATTGTTCTCACTTTGATTTCCTCCCTCTGCGAAGCCCGAAGTCAGCTATATGGCTAATGATAAATATTCAAAACGCCTGCCATTTGAAATAGTAATACTTTTATGATCAAAGATGAACGTTTTCTTGTTAAGATTTACTGTTATTGCTTTTCTATATTTAAAATAGATTCGATTATGCGGACGTGGGCATCTCCTTCATTCAGCTATTTCTAATATTCTTGAACGATACAATAAAACAAATTCACACTTATTTAATGACCATTTCATTATACCTACATTTCACATCACTTTAGGATGGGAAAAATGTTTACTGTTCATATTTAAGGAAGTTTGTGTGAAACAATGTTAGAGCTTTCGACTACGCTGACCCGTTAGTATGCTACTAAATGCAAAACTTGGTTTGCTTTCAAACACCTCGTATCACTAAATAGTCGACATCACTCTACTGAGTACTTCTTATTAAATTAATACAGATGGGCGGAATTTTTTTCGAGGGTGTCTACTTTAGGTCGTTTTACAAGATGACTCATAAACGAATGGGGGTTTCAGGGCATTTTCGATGACCTAAATGCGAGACAGGTGGCAAATTTGTTATCAATTTGGCCGACCATCGAAGATGATATGATTGTCACTTCGGGTTCGAATAAAAGGTCCGTTAAGATGATTGACCTTCAACTCACGTTCGCACACATCCTCACTGGAACGTGCTGCTAGTACGAGTGTAATACCACAAACCACAAAAAATGTTTATTTATTTATTTTGAATGGCAGGCATATGGATAGTTATTATTAGCCCTTAGCTGACTTCGAACTTCACAAAGGGGAGAAACATCAAAGTTAAAGAGGGCGGACCGAAGAGTTATTTGCAGATGTAAAAGAGACGGGCACAATGATAGAGAGTAGGGTAAGGTGAATACTGTAGAAGTGGCCGACTATGACATACACTGAGGTCATGATAGTTTGAAGTCAGAAGTCAACTGCTAAATAATAGACTTTTTAGTCGTAAGAGTATACGTTGCCCAGGGTGCACCACGTGGAGGTAAGTCTATCGCACACCCCACCGCAAAGAATATGAATATCTTTAAAATGCATGCTTTTAGGAAAGAAATTAACTTAAAACCAACCCCCTAGTGGAGAAAGCTCTTCTCAACTTTCAATTGACC